AGCGGTGCAAATAAATAAATAATAAAAATAAAAAAGTTAAAAAAAAAAAAAAAAAAAAAAAAAAAAAAAGGCCGGTAATGGTGAACGTATACAACTTAGGTTTCGGGTCCGATGGGGTCACGTGAGGGTGGAGTAGAATGAGAGCGGTGCAGATAAATAAATAATAAAAATAAAAGAATTAATAAATTAAATAAAATAGAAGTAGATACGATAAATAAATATATACCAATAGCTCAACGATATGACCCTTCCCTTCCCGCTTCACACAAATTGCCAATGAATCGACACTGATACTGCCTAGGAGTTTTTAAACGAATCTGACCGTAATTGCGATAAGATACGCCTGGATATTTTTCAACGAATCTGGCAATTAAGATAAGGTCGACGAACCTCTAGCTTGCAGCATATGCCTTGACACGAGCGTTTCCACCACCGCCGCACGGTCTCACCATCAAACGCTACGCGCCTGAATCTGGACGTGTTTTATGCAAATATGCAGAAATCAATCGCGATTTCCTGTTACTCTCCACACAACACCGTCCAGATCCCGGCGTTAAATCCAATCCTCTTTGCTGGTAGTGGGACCTCGCACCAACAGCCGTCGGGATCTGGACGTATACTTCAACTTGGACCGCGCGACGCGTCCCCCCCCCCTCCTCCTCCCCCACAGTCGTCGAAACAAATCTCCGAGGGGGAAAAAAAAAAAAAGTCCATTACACTAAAGCCGTCCAGCAATGATTGGAATGTATAAAGGTACAGATCATGCTGACGTGTTTCAACGTCAGAAAGACACGTTCGTACGGAAGAAACGATGAAGACACGTCTTCGACAACTTTAAAAGAAGCATCGCACGTCCATCTTGTGATCCACTTTTCTCTGACATCGGGATCCCGAAGAGGCGCGGCGCGGCGCCGCGCGGAGCGGTGCGATCATCGGTCGATATGGGGATCGATGGGTAGGATCACAAGATGGACGCCGACCGGGATCCCGGCGTCGGAGAAAAGTGGAGGGTGCGCGTGAATTCGGCGCGGGCTGGGAGAGACTTCAGAAGCTGAGGTGGAACGAGATCCCGATTGCTCGCTGTTCGGAACACAAAGAGAGATCGCCGGGGAACGAACAGGGCCAAATTATAATTTTTCAAAAAAAGGGGCCAAATTATAACGGCAAAGGGACAGCGACACCGCGACGGAGGCACCGGAGGAACGAACAGGGGAAAGAGAGAGAGAGAAAGGGGGCAAATTATGACGGCAAAGGGACAGCGACACCGCGACGGAGGCACCGGAGGAACGAACAGCACACAGAGAGAGAGAGAGCTGTCTCTTATACACATCTAGATGTGTATAAGAGACAGCGAAAAAGGAGCGCGAATTCAAAAACACAATACA